CCACGGCTCACCGGCAGCACCCCCGCGCCGTCGGCGCGCTCCCCTCCGCTGCCTCGCTCCCCCTCCAACCCCGCCACCCCGCGGACGCACCGCCGCCGGACATGGGATGAGCATTCAGCCAGGCTTGAAATTTCATACTTAGACGCAATTTAGTGCGGATCCGCGTCGGCTGTTCGATGGTTTCGCATTTTAAACTGTACGTTATCATTCTCCTATTTTATGTTGGCAGAGACGGCATAACAGCTGGCGCATTGCAAGCAGCAATTCTTTGTGCGTCGCGAGATGCGATGGTGATCGTGTGGCTGTGTTTTACGCAAGCTCACGCCAACGGGTAGTGATTGACTTGAGGCTAGAGGGTGCAGGGCGCAGTGCGGATCTGGGTGTTGTCCACTTCACCCACGGAGATGGGCAGAGACGGTGCTGTGTGGATCTTGCTGAGTGCTCCACTGGGACCCACGGCGAATGGGCAGGGCAGGGGTGCGCCAGTTGCGGATCTTGGCTGTGCTCCACGTTCCCCACGGGCAGACGGTCAGACAGTGCAAGTGCGCGATTGCTGTGGTCCACGTCACCCACGTGGACGGGCAGACACGCAGTGCAGATCTGGGGCTGTGTCCACTCACCACGTGAGACGGGCAGGCAAGCTCAGGTGGCGGATCTGGGCTGTGTCCAGCTCAACTTCACGGCGCAGGACGGCGCAGTCAGGAAGCAGGGTCGCGGTCTGGGCCTGTGTCCACTGCACACGGGGGAGACGGGGGGCAGGCCAAGGGCCGCAGTGCGGATTCTGGCTGCTGTTCCACTCACCCTCACTGGGGATGATATCGGCAGCAAGGCTCCATGCAGAGATTCTGGCTGTTTTGCCACATCACCCACGCGGAATACCGGGCCAGCAGGCGCAGTGCGGGATGCTGGCTGGTGTCCTCTCACCCACGGCCGGGGAACGGGGCAGAGACTCGGTGGCTCTGGGGATTTCTGCACTGCTCCAGCTCCCACGGCAGACGGCCAGGCCAGGGCGCTGTATGAGAATCTTGGCTGGTGTCCACTCACCCACGGCAGCGTACGGCAGGGTGCAGTGCGGATCTCTGGCCAGTGTGCCACTCACCCGACGGGAGACGGCAGGCAGGCGCCGCAGTGCCGATCTGGGCTGTGGTCCACTCACCACGGCGCGAGAAGGGCACGGCAGGGCGAGTGCGGATCTGGCTGTGTCCACGTCACCCACGCGGGAGACGGCCAGCAGGGCTCGATTTGCGGATCTGGCTGCTGTCACTCACCCATGGGGGACGGCAGTGCGAGGACGAATTTGCAGGATCTGGCTGTTGTCCATTTCTCGGCAACCGGAGGACTGGGCAGGCAGGCCGCAGTTGGTGATCTGGCTGGTGTCCACTGCACACACAGGGAGACGGGCAGAGGGCGCAGGGCGGATCTTGGCTTGTGGTCCACTCAGCCGGACGGCAGGCAGGGCACAGTTGGTGGATCCGGCCTGTGTCCTCTCACCCACGGGAGATGGCAGAGACGGGTGCTGCTGTGGATCTGGTATGTCCACCTGACGCCACGGCAGACGGGCAGGCAGGGCCGGAGTCGGAGTCTTGCGTTGTCACTCACCCACGCAGTTGCGGTCATCAGGCGCAGTCAGGTGGCGGATCTGGCTGGTCACTCACCCACCGGCAGCGGGCGGCAGGCGCGTGCCAGTATGGATCTGGCCCTGTGTCCACTCACCACGGCAGACCGGTCAGGGCAGCGGCGCGCCGAGTGGAGGATGCTTGGCTGGTGCTCGATCACCAGCGGCAGGGAGCGGGGCAGTATGGCGCGCCCAGTGCGGATCTGGCTGTGTCACTCGCCCACGGGGAGGACGGGCAGGCATCGGGCGCAGTGCGGATTCGGCTGGCCTGTGTCACTCACCCAGGCGGCAGCGCGGTAGGGCAGGCGCAGTGGCAGATCTGGCCTGTGGTCACTCCACCCACGGGCAGACGGGGCAGGCAGGGCGCAGTGTGGTCTGGCGCCTGTGTCCGACTCACCCACGGAGACGATCAGGCAGGGGCAGGTGCGGGATCTGGCTGGGTCACCGTGCACTCACCCGTCAGGCGACGGGAGGCAGGGTGCCAGGTCGCGGATTCTGCGCTTTCGTCCACTCGCCACGGAGACGGGCAGGCAGGGGCGCAGGTGCGGATTGTGGCTGGTGTCCACTCGGCCCACAGCAGCACGGGCCAGCAGGCCGGTGGCCGAATCTGGCTGGTTGTCCACTTCGGGCCCACGGCAGGATGGGCAGGCAGGCGCATGTGGATTGGCTGTGTCCACTTCATCCGACGGTCGCGTCAGCAATGTTGCACGTGCCGATCTGGCTATGTGCCACTCGGGCACGACCGGCATTGTGGATGGGGCAGGCAGGGGCGCAGTGCCGGCATCGGCTGGTGTCCACTAGCCCGACTGGGAGACGGGCAGGCAGGGGGCGCAGTGCGGATCTGGGCTGGTGTCACGTCGCCCACGGCAGCCGCGGGTCAGGCCAGGCGCAGTGCGGATTCTGGCTGTGTCCACTCACCCACGGGGAGGACGGCACAGGGGGTGGCAGGTGCGCGATCTGCGCTGGCTGTCCACGATACTGTGACGGGCAAACCGCGGCAGGCAAGGCGCGCAGTGCGGATTCTGGCTGCTGTCCACTCACGCCACGGGAGACGGGCAGCAGGGCGCAGTCGGAGTCTGGCTGACTGTCCAGCTCACTGACGGCAAACGGGCAGGGCAGGGCGCAGTTGCGGATCTGGCGTGTGTCCACTAACACGGGAGACGGGCGGCAGGGCGCAGTGGCGATCTGGCTGTGGTCACCTCACAACCGCTGAGACGGGCAGGCAAGGCGCAGTGCGGCATCCGCTTGTCCACTCAGCCCATCGGGATACGGGCAGGCCAGGCGCCAGTGCGGATCGGCTGTGTCCACTCACCCACGGGGATGGGCCAGAGACCGTGCTGGTGTGCGGATCTCGGTGATTGATTGTCCAATGTGTGTATGTCACAAACTCGCTCTTGTGCCCGGAGAAATAATGGACACTCTGTGGTGGTCAAAACAAGTGCTGTCTCATCGACCCTAACGTGATTTACACTGCATTATGCAATGGCTTATTCCATCAAAGCATCTGCTCTGCCTCGAACAGAAGAGATCTGCCGGTGTCTACTCACCTCATTTAAGCGAGACTAAGAAGGGCGTAAGAAGACCAGTTTAAGCGTAGACAAAAAAACTGGTTTCGGTTTCTCGCCGGATTTACATCAATAGAGGGTCGTACAAAGATAATCGGATAAGGTATTTCTTTCTTACTGCTTACAACCATCAACGTGATAAGACGGGTCCAATATGGAAAAAGACAACATCACTAGTCTGGCTACTGCGCGAGTGCGGATCTCTGGCACTGTAAGTCCGAATCTTCGGGCAGAAACTATCATCCAACGCTGTGAATCTTTCAAGAAACACCACGAAGGCAAAGCACCAGCTGACTGCAAGAATGTATCTAAACCGCGGTACTCTAGGTTGCGCGATGGCTGCTGTGTGTCGCACTCACTCACGTGGAGACGGGTGCAGGCAGGGTTACAGCTATCTGTGGCATCTGGCCTATGATAGTAGCACCAACATTACCAACACTCTACACAAAATGGGGCTCGTTTGCCCTGGAATCCTACCCAAGTCATGTTTCCGTTTGTCCTTGTGATTGTCTGCATGATACCATCTTTTAGATCAAGGAGCAGCAAGGCGCAAATGTCGGAGCTGGTACATGTACACATGAGCCTGATGTCAACACCCACTTCACAACATCTTTAACACACATGGCGTGAATCTCCTCACCCCACAAGAAAAGAGCATACGGCGTGCATACCTTCTTGCTCTGTGGGCGCTCTTCCAGACTTAGTGTTGCTTCAAGTGCGTTGTAGCAATCTGAGCTCCCGATCTTCCCCTCATTACTTCAGCTCTTTGCTGCTCTCCCGCGTAACTGGTAGACTCGGAGCCAGCATGGAGGATCGTGCAGGCCAGTGACGTGCGATCCTCTGGACTGGTTGTACTCGATACACCCAGAGGTCGATAGATCTGTCCATTGGAACTGGTGCTATTCTCCAAGGAGACGTCTGTGTTTGCCCTCTGTGATACGTTGCGGATTTTGATGACAAATCATTAAGGCATAATATCGGATGGTACAACACGGCAGATGTGCAATGTTAGAGTACACTTCTGCAGCGGCAGGAAATGGATCTCTCATGTGCAGGGGGCGCGTAGTATCGGTTGACAGATACCTGCTACTATCCAGATGCCACTCATCCACCAGGGCATCGACGACAGAGCATGAGATTCATTGGTCGCTCTCACTTATTTTAAAGATGGTAGAAAGATAATTAAAATTCATCATACGGTTAGACGCAACTTTTCGTGCGGATGGAAAGCTTGCAGGTCACTCACCTCACCTTAAACTAGGTCCGAGAATCGGGCAGCATTCGGCACGAGGCGAGACAAGTGTGGGAATCATAGGCGAGTTTCGCACGCTCACCCCTTAACGGAGAGAGAAGGCGCGATGGTTACCGGGTAGGCGGCAGTTGTGGCGGGCTACCTGTAGGTTGTCTGGGGTCATAACGTATACACTTTTCCTGGCTAGTGTCTCATAGGACGTTACAACTCAACGGGAGGCGCCCACTGGGCAGATGACACACAAGCAAGAACGACCTCCATGAAAGTAGCGTCTGAATCTGGCATGTGTCTCTACCTCTTCACCTCTACTGATGGGAGCGGTACCAAACGCGAGAAGCACATGTGTCTCAACAGGTCTGTACGAGATGATGCGCGCCTCGGGATATTCTACTGCGCTAAGTACCAGTACAACACTCTTTCCCCCACGGATGAGACGGGCTAGGGTCTCAATGTCTTTCACGAGGCTGGCACCTGTATCTTAAATTCGGGCGGATCTGGCTTAGATATAGATCCAACTCTGCGGCTGTCTCATCCTGCAACGAGGAGCACGTGGCTCATGAGGGCAAAGATGTCCTGTCAGCTGCGTGAGGGATCTGGCCGCTCGTGGATAACCCCAGATGGCATACCACCGCCCTTGCCATTCCGCAGGCGGGAAGATTACCGGGTCATTAGCGCAATGCAGGAATCACGTTGGAACTGGGGCACAGTGTGGATCGGCGCTGTCCGCCCGTTCCCTTGTCACACCGTCGCTGCAAACCAGCGGGGTTTGAAGAGTGATGAGAGCCAACCGGGGTAGACGTGTGGATGCTTGTTCCATGTGTCGCTAGTCAGGGAGTTTCTGGGCGTCAGTCAATGGCTTATGAAATGTCGCTGGCAACCAGATAATAGTAGACCCGGGTAGAACGGGCAAAGCAGCGGGCTATAAGAGTGTTTCTCAGGCGTCACAGGAGCTCTTTCTGCACACGGTCTGTGGCTGCCTATGCCTTGTCGTTTCATCCTAATGCAATCACCATCTCCCTCTACAGGTTGCGGGGGGCTGTGTACTCCCCTGGTGCCAGGCAGTGCCACAGAGGAGCCAATTCAGTCTCAGTTTGAACTTCCCTCCAACGGCACGAATCCAAACCTTCATTCTCTTCACTGGAAAGTTGGTTTAAAAAAAGAGATCAATGGCGGGGCGCATCATCGTTTGTGCGGATTCTTTTGGACTGTTCGATCGTACTCCATTTTTAGTCTGTACCCCAACGCGCCGCTTGGGAGTTGGAACAGGTGCTTCCTGGACTTTCCTACTGTCCGCGCACGTCTCTTCCCTGCTCTGCTATCGTAGTCGGAACTCGTGGTGTGTCCACTCACTCCCCACGGGCAGGACGCGTCAGGCAACGGTAGGGGTCAGCCAAGCCGGTTGGGCTCTCCTCGTTTGTGAGGCACATCTTAGGTGTCTTGTTTTTGTCCATCTATGTCAATAATCCGATAGGTCAGTTGAAACGTAGGGGTAGCACTCAAGCGATAAGTCTGCTGCATCAAGTTTGCGCCCTGGTTTGCATTCTACGGCGTGTGATGACACCTACTTTACAGCCTCAGAAGTTTATGATAGGGTATTTGAGCCGTACGACAACTGTTGCGCGGAAAGGTATCACGGCAGGTTTTACTGACGGATGCTGGTCTTTGATACGAAACTGCTGATAGAACATCATAGCTGGTACACATGGTCGCACATAAAGTGAATAAAAGTACATGTTACTCCACTACGTCTAAATCTCCATATTCGGTCGAACATAGAACTAAGATTCTAGGCACGGAGCGCCCATCGCATGAATGGGTAGAGTGGACTGAGGACTTTGTCGAGACTTTCACATCCAGTACACCAAACACGGGAGACCGCCGCAATGGCATTTTTTTTAATCGGTTAGAGCGCGGATGAGCTAGTAGATGGATATTTTTCGGCTTGCAGATGTTGTATAACACGACATCTTAGCGACGAAAAGTCCAGCTCCAGAATAAGGGCACGGTCCAATTCCACGGGATCGAACTGAAGAGAGACAAAAGACGCAGAAAAAAGAGTGGAAGAATGACTGGAGGATAAGAGAACAAACGTTTCAATGCCCATAAAAAAAGCCGCCGACCGCGGTGAGACTTCAGAACATGAGAAATATTAGCAATCAGTACCATTTGGCTACTCCTGAACAGAAGGTTGTCTCTATTGTTCGGCTGGACATGTACAACTCATGTGGCATTGGCTTGGATGACCATACAATGTCCGCCCTCATCCTTTTGGGTATAAAAGCCTGAGGAAAAGGTGAGCAGGTCAGCTATAGTTGCGGATACTGCGTGTGCGTCAGTCTCACCTACTTTTCCTCCTGTTCGCCTCTCCCACGGCAGACTGGTGCAGGGCCAGGGCGGCAGTGCAGCGGTGAATTCTCTGGTGCTAGAGTAAGTTTAAGTGGATCCACTCGCTCCTTATCTCTCTTACCCAGCGCAGTAATGGCATTGGCACATGGGGCGTGAAAAATACATGTTTTGCGTGACAGATGTGTGATATGGCTGGTCATGAATCTTTCTTCGCATCAAATTCCCTTCAATCGCAGTTCTCGATATGGAGTAGACTATTTGGTGTCATTATCACTGAAACCTGGGGCAATTAGTGGCCAATTTGTGAGCGCATCACTGGTCTCACTGTCTCTGCTCGGGTCCAGCGCTGTAAGCCAGCTGACGTGTCTCAGGCGGGCCGATGGGTACAGTGTTTGAGCTGTGCTGCTGAACAGGCAGGAAGCGTTCTGCGGCGGATCTTCAGCCAGTGTTGTCCACCTAAGCCCAATCATTCTCGGACAGATTCTGTGCCGTCACCATCAGAAGGTATTCTGCGCGCCGCTAAATGGTGCAGTGATCTGGCTGTGTCAGTTGTACCAAGTGCAATATTTCCTGTCCAATCCGCTCGCAACTCTCAAGACGGCGCAGGCGCGTCATATGGTCAGGATACTCAGTCTTGAGGGTAGCCTAGAATCATAGAATCCACATATCCGCATGTTGGAAACAACCTTTCCGCCAAATCCACAGGTAAGAGGGTGCTGTGAAGAAAACAGCCTGATTCTGTCAGCGCCGGTGCGGTGAGTATGACTCATGGCTGTTTCATCAAGACTACCAACAATAGCTTGAGCACCCCCTTAGTAACGACTGCTGCAGTTCAGAGAAAAGGCGTGGATGACGTGGCAACCAACAGTCGCAGTACTTTATGTGTGTCCAGTTTGGTATTCGCGGACTCATTGAGTGTATGTCGGAGGATACTGATTTTAAGTTTCAATAACACTGTGCCCATACTGTGCCCCACACTCCCCGAGGAGGAGCCTGAAGCTACAACAAGCGCGCGACAGTGAACAGTTCCGCCGAGAGTCATCTGGCTGCAGATGTTTCCCTACCACCTGCAGTCTCAGGTAACACGGATAGATACACGCTCGCCGCCTCCTCCCAGGGCAGGCGCTGCCCAGTACGCCAGGAATTTCCATTGTTGCTGTGTCACCCACTTATAGTCGGGGCACATTCATGACTGGCAGTTGAGGATGAGTGTTGTCGCTAAGTGACAGGATCGTAGATGCTGTGTTGTGGGTATGTGTTTTCCTTGGCTAATTGTCTTGTCGAATATCTGTCACCCGACGGCATTTGTAGTATATGAGTCGGTGCCTAAGGAAAGGATTAATGATGTGGCGTGTAGCGTCAAGGTGTGGATTTCTTTTAAGCTGTAAGTATCACTGCCTGTGGCCACTCACCCACGGAAAGGATGGGCAGGCAGGGCGCGCAGTGCGGATCTCGGCTTTAGTCCACGACTGATTAACCAACTCTATCCTCACCTCAATCCATTACTTCGCAGGTTGATGGAGTTTACCTATGGAGTTCCCAGAGACCCAGTTGAACAAGCGAGGACAGAAAAACCAAGTGTGGTGACGTTGACGCGATCGCTGTTGACTCACCTGTAGCTATCCAAGCCACACTGTGAGGGTCAGAGCGTTATTAGAGAAGTCTGTATACTTACAAGTAGGAGATGAATGACGGCGTTCTCTACTAGAGAATCGCCTTATAACCTCGCCAAGGCAGAAACGAGAAGGATTAATCCAGGAGTGCGCCAGAGTAGCAGGAGATTGGAAAAAATCACGGTGACTTCATGCTCGTCTACTAGCCCACCTCAATCCACAGTAACATGGTATATAGAGTGCAGCAGTACTCGGCCATGCCGGGCCAAATAAGGGCGTCTCCGATCAGATGGCTGGGAATTTTCCATCAAATAGAAGAACTAGTGATCAACTAACTTTAATCGCCCAATCTGCGAGAGGCGAAATGGTTCACGCCGGGTCGATACCTGAGCAGCGCAATCTGGCACGAGGTGTGGGATCTGGCGCGCTGTGGTAGGAACACTCACCCACGGGAACGTGCAGATTGCTGGAACAGGAGGGCTCGAAACCAGCGCTGGATGCAAAGTAGAGAACCTCTGGTCTCTAACTTAAATAGAAAGTAAACCTTAATTCCAACTTGAAACCCACGGTGCAGTAGCGGGCAGCAGGGCGCATAGTGCAGAATAATTACGCGCTCGTGCTCCGCAACTGGTGGCACCAAATGCCTGTCCTATAGGTTCAAGGACGCTGGGCGCAGGCGCAGGATGTGTGGCGCGCAGGATTGAGAGTTTTGCTTTGATGCGAGGACTGACCATGCACTGTGAACTGCTATCGTGGGCTAAGAGATGGGCACTTCGTCTCGCCAAATACACCACCGGGAGGGGACGGGCAAAGAGAGCAGATGTCCTGTATCAGGTGGATCTCGGACATACAAAGGATGTCCACTGCACCCCCCCTACAAATACGGTCTCTTCTTTAGATTTTTTTCGCGGTCAAGGTCAAGCGACCTGAAGGTGACGTGCGGATGCTGGCTGTCGCCCCACACCCGTAGTGGAGATGACCGAGCGAGGCAGGCAAGGGCGTCCGAAATGAAAGTACAGCTGGCCGTTTGGGTGGGAAACAACGCTCAATGGGGACACACAACTGGAGATGAAACGTGGTTAGTAGGGCTGACAGAAGAAATGCGCGAGCACTGCAGTGAACATCTGGGCTACATGTAGATACCAGTCAAAATTGACAGATCAAAAAATGTCAACAGAACGAGAGGAGTGATCGGACGACAGCCAGTGTTAGAGGAGTGTAACCGTATTTCATCGGAATGCCTAAGAAAGATCTTTTGAAAATAAATTTTATTCTAGAGTGAGGCTGTAGAGTCATATACATAAGGAAGGCTCTTAATTTATGTGATTCCTCTGCATGACACACTTCTGGAGAGCCATCGCGAGAACAGGAAACGGGCCTGTACCGAGCTACAGCACAAGCCGCTCATTCTATCTGGATTAACAACAACAAAGTGAAAAATATAGAGAGAGAGGGGGCTCCCTAACGTGGTTGCGCTGTATCATTTGCGTGTGTGTGCTCACACATCCAGCTAACACACGCCAGGGAATGTTATGTGGCGGGCAGAGAGACGCACGGGAGTGTGTGGAGGTCGACAGTAAGGCAACTCTCCGCGTCTCTAGTTTAATTTTACTGTGGTGTTAAGAATTGATCCAGAGGAATTAGCTTATCCAAGACAGGTACCTACCTTTTCTGTATAGAAAACCCCATTGTACATGAATCTTTTTGATCGAAGATACAGAAACCATTTTTAGGCTCCTTTGCAATAGAACATGGTGGTGATAAAGGAAAATATGAAACCAAAATCGTTGGGGGTCGGTGCTCGAAACAACTAATGCCTCTTCTCCGGTTTCC